TTTTGGTAGAAAGAGCTCAGCCTTTTTAACCAGAGCCCAAGTTCAGGCCCGCAAGAGACTCTGGGCAAGTTATCTGAACTGTTTTACCCATCTATTAGATAGGATGGACCCCCTGGAAGGATCAGAGGAGGCATATGTGATACCAAGCACAAAGGGGTGGTGAACAAATGATACTGCTAACCCTTCAGACTTTCCTGGCCTTCTTCAGACATGGGCGACACACATCCTTGCTGCCTGGCTAACTTACACTCGTGATAATTCACAACTTGCTTGGGGAGACCACCTTCTCCACAGGCTTTCCCTGTGCATGTACAGTGAGAGGGGGTATACAAACATCTGTGAGTGTACTGTGCTGGAGGAGCAGGGGGGAGGACACAGGACCCTATCTGGGACTTGGTGGAGGTGGTTGGAGCTGGTAGCATAGCCTGGGTGAAGGCAAAAGGGAGCACATCTTGGACGGAGGGTAATGGAGAGCAAGCCTGTTGTGTGTGTGTTAGAAGGCTACTGCAGAATTCTGGTGCCCAAAGCAGGGCAGAGGACAGGACTGCAGGAGATAGATCAGTAAGACTAACTGGATGTGATGAGAGAAAGGACAGCCTGGAGTGAAAACAGAGCTGGATCTGCCCTGAAACTCATGGTATGGTGGCTGCTGGCCAAACAGGGCTATTTATTTAAAATTAAACAAAATCTAAAATTTGTTTCTTCATCTTATTAGCACATTTCAGGTGCTCAATGTATGCATTAGTGCAGAACAAACCATGCAAGGAAGACAGGGAGAAAGGGAACACAGTTAATTTTGGCTGGTTGCTGCAGAGGATCCCATCCTCCCAGAAGGGTCCCTGGACAGTACTGGTTGGGGTCACACAGTGAACTGGAGACTATAGCAGGGCCCCAGGGCAGACAGAAAGTGTCCATAGAAATCAACACCTCAGAAGGCAGGGTTGCCTTCCCAAGAACACAAACAGCAGACACTGTCACCTTGGCTTTATTGATAAAGATTCCTAATCTCCACTCTTCATCATGAACTGTGGATTTTGCTACAAAACTATGCATTGGTCACTCAAAGAGAAATCACCTTAGGGGTGCCCCCATTCTGTCCTGACAGGACACTAACTGTTCTTAGAGATAAACAGATGGGGCAATTATACTCAGATGATTAATCACACACAATTTCTCCTGGATCTAAAATTACACCAAATTACATTTGATCGACTTCTTTGCAAGAAAAATCACTTTTTGGCAAACTCCTTCACTCCTCGTGGTGACAAGGGATGGAAGCCGCAGGCTAAATCTTGGAGACTGGTCGGTTCTTGACTTCAGTCTCCAGCCAGTCAATGAGGATCTGGTTCACCTCAGTGGGCCTGGAAGTGCAATAAAGGGCAAGTCACCCTGTGTGACCTGCTCTCCCTGCTAAGGTGAGGCGCATGAAGCAAATGACCAAGCCAGGCCCAAACTGGGCAGAATTAATTAAGCCTGAAAAGTTTTTAGGGAAGGTGAATGGGGAATTCTTCTCCCCCGACCCAGGGAGCCCCCAATCTCCTTACTTCTCCATCTGTGTCCAGTGCCCACAATCATTAATGTGCCCTCTTTTCAGGTGGGGGATCTGAAAGAAAGGTCAAGGGCAGAATGCAAATGAGTCTGGTTTCAGGTCAGTGCAACAGCAGTAAAGACCACTCGTGAGGGGACACCTTCCACTCTGCTCCCCGCAGGCCAGTCCCAAGGCCCCCGTATCATTTAGGACAAAAGTGACCACATCAGTGCAGGGGAAAGGGACTGTCAGTCAGGGGAAGGGGCAGTGAGTTAGTTAGGAATCCCAGTCAGAGCAGGGCTCCAGCCAACTCTCCTGTCTGTTCCTCCACTGCTGTCTCCCTCTGGACACCTGTGTTTTCTCCCGAGACCCACCGAAAATCTTGTTCCCTCACCCAGTTCTCCATGTGCTTGGACATCTCAGGAGTAAGAACGACATCCTTCTCTGCTGTTACCATCAGGGCCGGGATCAGGATCTGGGGAGAAGAGGAGACTGGAACAGCTGGCCCCCCACCACCACCCCAGATGTCCTCTGCACTCAGGCACTGGGACCAGGCAGGTGCACATGCCCTGGTGCTTCCTCTGCTGCTAGTCCTCTTTCCCCCGCAAAAGACCCTTGCCGCATCACTGTGGTCCTGGCTTTGTTTCTGTCAAGCTTTATAGGAAGGAGTCAGCATTACCCCTGGAGTGCTTTTGAGTGTTGGATTTAGTAATGTAGTGACCAGTGTGGAAATGGCTTGGTGGTACCAGGAGGGAGGACAGATGCCCTTGAATGAAGGTCAAGATTCCCTTTCTCTGAATTAAACAAATATCAAAAAGGGCAGCAAAGATTTCCCAGGTGTGAATGGAATCTTTCTTTCTTTCCTTCCTTCCTTCCTTCCCTCTCCCTCCCTTCCTTCGTCCCTCCCTCCCTCCATCTCTCCTTCCCTCTCACCCTCCTTCTTCTTTCTTTCTGCATCAGCACTAGGAATTGAACCCAAGGTTTTGCTCATGCCAGGTAAGTACTCTACACCCCCAGTCCCTTTTTATTTTATTTTAAGACAGCCCTCAAACTTTTGATCATTCTGCCTCTGCCTTTTGAGGAGCTGAGATTACAGGTATGAACCACCAATACCTGGCATTTTTATCATTTTCAAACAGCCTCAGCCTGATCTTGGTTGAAGTCTCTGCACTATTTTTGCCTCTGTGAAGAAATATGTGCTTCTTATCACCCCTGCTTCTGGGGAACCAAGGGAAGGACAAAGTGGTTTTGTTGCTGAAACCAGTCCTGAGGCTGCTGAGGGGCTCTGTAAACTCTAGAATGTTCCAAGCCCAAATGTAAACAGGAGGTTGACATGAGAGGAGGCAGGAGAGGAGCGAGGAAGATCCATGGATAATCATAGAGGAAGGGGATTCCCAACCTTAGCAATATCGGGGTTTTTCATTTCCCACCACACTGACAGATCTGGTTGCTCCATCTGCAGCTTGGTAACTTTTATCAGTTACAGGTTAGTGGTGATGACAGTGAACCGTTCTTGACAACATTCTACCTCATCATCACTGTGAGGTAGGCGCTATTCTTGTCATTTGCTTACTGCAGAAGAGGCAACAGAGGGTCACAGTGGTTACGTGCCTTTCCTAATGTCACACAGGGATTAGATCCAGGCCATCTTACTTCCCAACCTGCTTTTAACGACTATGCTGTATACTCTGTTGCCTCAAGACCTACTCTGGAGGTCAGGACCTTCTCTCCTCTAGTGACCACAGTGTCCCCACATCTAGCATGCTGCCTGGCACACAGCAGGTGCACTCACTCACATGGAGTGAACCAAGGAGAGACCAGTGCTCCCCAGAGGGCCGTTGAAGGCCTGGCTCCCCTTGCTACCATGTTGGGAGAAAATACACTTTCTCTCTGTTTTAACATTTATGATGTAAAATGATTCTCTTCGTGCACCCAGAGGTTGGAAACCTATCATCTGCTGGACAGATGAGGAAACTGAGGCTTGGAGGCAAAAATCAAAAGGTTATACAACTCTAGGCTCAGGCCATGTGTGACTGAAAGCACCTAAGGTGCTCCTTTGTTCGGGGCTCCATTGTCCATGCCACCCCTGGGAGTCCTTCTGGCCCACCTCTGCACTGGCTTAGGCCACTGACAGGAGACCTGGGCCTCCCAAATGATGCTGCAACTACCTGGACAGAGTCTTGCTTGTCCCCAAGCCCACCTACCACCATTCCAGGGGACATACCAGCAAGAGGCACTAAGAGGAAGCCCCTGAGTAGAGCCTGTCCCAACTCCAGAGGGAAAGGAGGAAGCCAGTGGGTCTGAAGGATGCCAGCGAGTCTATCCCACCCAGCTCCAACTCAGGGTCCTGCCAGGGGAGGGCCAAGGGGAAGCCCAGGGGAGGGCAAAGGTGGTTTCCAAGTGGGTGGGGAAACACACAGCACCCACCTTCCGACCAATGCTTCTGCAGCTCCACTTCCAGTTCCGTTCCATGTTCCGATACCAGTTTAGGGGACCTCTGGGGAGCAGATCAGAGGGCAACACAGGTGAGCTTCGAGGGGCTGACTGGTGCCATCCCTATGGGAACCTGCTCTGTGGGGAGCCAGCCATCACAAGGAGGGCATCAAGGCCCAGCATTCGTCTTCAGTCCTCACCCACCCAACTTTACTCAGCAGGATGGAGTGCAGGGCTGGCAGCCGCTGAGGGGGCTTTGGGACGCATGGAAGTTGGCCCTGCAGGATCATCTCGTCCTCTGGGGATGTGTAGGGGTGGGAAGCTTGGTTAAGCCCTTCAGTAGCCAAAGGCCACTCCCCTGCTCCAGGGAGCCCACTGATAAAGGACACAGGGAGGCTGCGCAAAGGTGCCGAAATGTATGCAAGTTTTGATTTACATGAACTTTTGGGGTTCTCTGAAGAGAAGCTGTGACTAAAAAACCATTTAAAACCTCTGTCCT